TCCATTCAAGCCTCCAACACATCATGACAGGGAGAGATATTTGTCCCAGAAGCCATTAAGTGATTTTTAGGTCAAATCGATAGTGCAAATGATGTATGAAATACAAGTGGGTCCACCTTCACTTTTGGTAAGTTACAAAGGGATTCTATCCCTTCCTTGGGACCATCATAATTGCTCCATCATGGTGACTCATGAATCCTGTGTCTGTGGGTAGGTTTGGCAAACACTGAAAACCAGGCCTGGGCCAGAAGATCAGACTTACAGTTGACAAATAGTTGGGAAACAAAACCTCACAACCTATGAGTTTTCACCTGAATATCTAAGTCAACAAGGATATGTGGATGCCATGAGAATGGTTAAAGAAAGGAAAGCTGATATTGATGGACATCAAAAGGAGCTGGCCCAAACCCTAGAACTCTATCGCTCATCAGTTGAAGGTACTAATGGTGCCCCGGCCAATTATTTACAAAAGCATAATTTTTGACAAACACAGATGGGCTTTGTCAAAGGCGGGAATTAATGCTTTCCCCTCTGAAGGACAGATAGGAGAAGACCCCATACCTAGAAAGACTTTTTCAATGGGGAAAGGGAGGAATAGAATCAGGAGCTCCTATTCTTTGAACCTGCCCTTTTATGAGCAAGCCGCACCCTGAAGGGTGACTCCACTGGTTTCAAGGGAAGTCCACTGAATTCCACCTTCACTTACTACTGAAGAACAGAGTCCCAAATACTCGGGCACAAGTTATGAGATCTTCCTCTGAAGCCATACAAAAGAGGAAGTGCCTGAGGGATTAAAAACAGAACAAAACAACAAACATCAGTAGGCTTAGCAAGGCCAAATTCAGCCTTTCATTCCACTCTCATATCGGAGCCATAAAATTATCTGCTTCCTCCACTCCATTTTTCTTCTTCATTCTTTGCATGTACTGAACTGAGGATTGTAAAGCAGTAAGTGAAACAGGCAAGTATCATAGATGATAGATTTTATAAGTTTAGTTACCTAGCTCAACCAGTTTTATAGATTTGACATCTATAATGCTTTCTTACATTTAGTTATTCATTATTCACATCCACATCAACATAGATATGGATATTTCCTGTTTTTTCTCTACTTTTTTTTTTGTACTGGTCACTGTAATAAAGTTCTGTTGTGTTCACTTCTTTGATTTAGTTCCACCTTCATAAAAAAGAACAGTTTTTTTCTCCAGTAATGAACTAGGATGAGAGAGATTGTTTTTCTGGATCCCATATTGATCTACATTGAACAGAGGAGCAACCTCTCGTCTCAGCAGACCCTTGGCTAACCTGAGAAACAGAGCTAAAATCCACCGCAAATCAAGACCAACCAAATCCATATTGATATGGACTGTTCACACCTATGCTAACAAACTCTCTTAATACTGAATGGTAGACAGTATTTGTTGAGATTGTCAGGTTCGGTCAGCACGAGGTTTCAGGGAAGCACGGGGCTGCAGGGAAGCTCGCAACCAGACCACGCGG